GCATTGTGAGCCAGAAGCTCACACAGTGCCACAGCTGAAATTAACAGTGAGCAATTTCTAAGCAAGACCTCCAAGGGGAAATGACTGAAAAGAGGAAAATCAGACTGCACACATTCTTTGACTCCTCGCTGGAAAACCGAGGTCTTACCAATTCACTGAGATGTCCAACGAGAACACAAGTCGGATTCTTCCACTGGCTGAAAAATCAAAAATGACCATGTGGAAAGGATGAGAAGGGGGCTTCTTATTTAAGGGGTATAGGACTAGGCAGGACTATTGGGGTCAGAGACAAAAATGTTATCCTTTGAGTAATTATGTATTATCCGTGTTCCTGTGGTGCTTGGAACTATAAAACCAATGCCTACCAACATAATTCCTATACATTTTGGGAGACTTCTTCATGTTTATCTTTGTCCTTAATTAAGCATTCATTTGGAAGGGTCAGTGTCAGTAGAGCTGTAGGAATATGAGCATAATCCCTTCCCCCACCCCCAGCCCCGCCCCGGGGTCTGGAGAACAGTGCAGGGTCTGGAGGAACTTCACCTGCCACAGGTAGGACTCTCCAATAATTTGGAATTCTGGGAACACCAGAAAGAGTTTCAAGGGAAAGGAGTTACTTATCAAACAGACAAAATAAACATCCGTTCAACCCAGTAGTGTGAGAGCCGAGCAATCCACTAGAGCGAGTAACTCAAGAGGTCATCATTTTCAGGGCCACTGGTAAAATCCAATTTCATCTTTCAGCAACTTGTAGTTGATAATACTTGTCACCCAGATGGCCTACAGATGTGTTTTAAGGATAAAAAAAAGACACTGAATTTAATTTACATTATTTTTTCCTAAAACTAAGAGAGCTCCTTCTGAAGTTGACAGAAAATATAACACTGAGAAACAGAACACATTCTCAGAGACAGACAAATGTTAATTATATGAGCAAACCAAAGGAATTGTTTATCTATTTCAGTTAAACTATCTGTCTTGGCCTTGATTATGTAGCACGCACATAACTGGTTAGAATTTTCGAGAAAGTAATTTAACTGTTTCAGTTACCTACTACCTTTTATCATTCATTTGCCCTAAAGACTGGGAAGAACTTGAAAAATAATAGAGCTATCTGGGGCACCTGGGTGGCTCAGTCGGTTGAGTGTCCAACTCTTGATTTCGGCTCAGGTCATGATCTCACTGGTCGCTGAGCATGGGGCCTTGCTTGAGATTCTGTCCCTCCCTTTGCCCCTCCCCCGCTTGCAATCACTCTCTCTTTCCCTCTCTCAAAAAACAAAAAATAATAAAAAATTAAAAATAATAGAGCTACCTGTTAATTACTCATGGAAAAAGTGTTAACAGTAAGAGAATCTGTTTAAGTTTCAGACTTCCATTGCCACAATTAAATAGAGATATTAATAGAATCATTTGTCAGTTACTCTCCTGCCATATATGTATTTGTGATCTTTTGCTTATCATTTTAAATCAAAGTGTTTTATCATCCATCCGACCTGGTGAAAAGGATAAAGACTACCTTATGTTGGCGATTTGTATTTCTCCAAAAAATGACACTATCAAATCCCAAAATGGAAGCCAAAAAGCCAGCTGAGTTAATTTTCAGTTAGATGATTGGATGTCCTGTATATAAAGTTTTGATTTCCCACGCATTTCAATAAAATCACTGACAATCAAATAAACACACATTAAGACACTAGAACAAATAACTTTGGATTACCTACACAAATGCTACTTTCCCTAAAGGAAGACAATCCAAAATTGACTTTAAATAACCGTATATTGATTGAGCATATATTCTACATGATAGCCTAGCACACTAAATACTAAAATTTGTTTTATTAATTCAAGCACTATTCTGGAGGAGGGAACTCATCAATGATTAGCTTCGCACGAATATAAAATTAAGTAGACTAAATGCCTATATTAGTCCCATGATCTTTCTTCAACTAGAGGATGTCTCTGCATTTCATAAAACTATTTCACCTTACTTAAATACTGTGCTGCTTTTGATAAATCATGTTGTCATATTGAAATTAAAGGTCTGTAAACAAACAGAGCTTTTCTTAATATTACAAAACAAAGATTTTCATTCCATATTTGCAGTATCAGGTACGTGTATGTTTGCATTTGAGAATAAAAACTGAGCAGAATAAATTTTCAGAATTGACAAATTAAATGATACATGTGTCCAGACGTGGAAATAAATTGCTGAAGACAGTGTTATTTACTACGGAACCGCATGACTCATTTTGCAATCCTTGTGCTTGGGGAGGAAAGGGAAGAAAGGATGTGTTAATTATAGGTGATGAATGATTGTCACTTCCCAGGTGTTAGGACAAAGATGAAATTTTGAAAGGTTTTCCTGGGGGGGTATTTCATGCTTCAGATAAATACGTGTTTCTTCATATTTTTACATTTTAAAGACTTTTAATAAAGATGGCAGAAGCACATTATAAATTTTGGCTTGTGGAAATACACGCAAACACACACGTATGCGCGCACACACACACACAATTACTTATATTCAATTGTTCTCAATATTCGAAGAGTCAACCCCCCAGTTTCTATAAGCAAGACGGATGGCCCCATTTATTCATGTGCTTATGATCATCTAATGAGTCTATTTCTCCCTCATGTTCTAGATGGTAGTTTGCACCTTGTTGGTGCTTCATATCTCATTCAAAAAACATGAATAACAGGCTCCAGTAATACTGATACATATGGTAACATTATGATTACCTATAAGAAAAGGGATGGCAAAAACAAATCTCACAAAACAAATCTCACATCTGAAAATGTTGTTATCCCAAAAGGCTACATCCAAGCATTGTATCAATATTGACCTTTGTCTTAAGATCGCATTGTTTTAAGACAATTAAATCTATTCATACATCTGCTACTTCCGAGACCATAAATTCAAACTATCCCAGAATTCTTTCCGTGATCACATAAAAAGTTTTCATACAATACATTTGGAGACCTTAAAATCCCCACATCCTAACCAATTCCCTTCTTCCTCCTTCCAGCTAAATTTTTAAAATGAAATTTTTATCTCTTTCCTATGGTCTTGTCTCAGATTTCAGAGGCTACATTGTAAATATAATAATGGATGTTCCCAACAGAGAGAGACAGCAGTTGATAAAGAAAACGCGTTCATTCCAAGTCATCATGAACACCCCAGGGTGCCCCCTATATCCCTGCAAGTAATTTCCTAATCAAGTAGATTGTAATATACAAGGCCCAACTACTGACATTTTTTGCTCAAGAGGTTGTTCCGTGATATGCAGTGCTGAGATATTCTTGAAATAATGTGTGAGGTTGACTTCTCTTCCTTTTTCTTCCCTCACCTCACCACACCACCTCCACAATTAATTCATTGCCCATCACCACAGCTCTCAAAGAGAATGATTCCAGGAAAACAGTAGGCTAACCATGTACCAGGTGTGTGGGCAACGTAATCACCCCTTTTGTCTTGGTTCACCTCTCTCCCATGAGCATCTAAGAGCAGTCACCATGTTTTACTCTATTTGGTACTGACAGCATGCAGCATGGAATAGGCACAAAATAACTGCAATCTGAATGAACTGAAGCCACTCTTTAAAGCAGTATCTACTGATGCCTATGTAATACTTCCACAAGCTTCAAAACCAAAGAACAGGGACTCTTCCCCTTATGTGTAACTTGCCAATGAGCAATGAAAAAGCCACACTGGACTGGGCAACAATTGCAACTTCTGCTTTACACAGAGGGCTCCCTGCCTCAGGTCCACAGGGATCCCATGATCCTTTTGCCATGAGAGGTGCGGAGGGGGAGGACAGGGTGCAGGCCAGTTCAGCGGTGCAGTGCAGAGAAGAGCAGGACTGGCCAGCTGCCCTGGGGAGGCAGATCCGTGAGGCAGAAAAGGTTCCTGTCCCTGAAGGCTTCCCAACCCCAAAACATGCCTGTTAACTCTGCTCCATGCAGGAAAAGCAGAGAAGAAAGGCCACATTTCTCCACTTCTTCACACCCCTGGGCATGGAGAACAGGGTGTAAGTTAAATATTGGCATTTAGATGTGCTGCTGTTTCTAAGTAAGAACCAAAGTTTGTTTCGTTTTTCCATTTATTTTCAGGTAGATGCATCTGTGAACACCTAGGAAAGTACTTAGAGGTCTGCCTCCTTTGTTTTCTCATATCACTATCCATGTGCTTCCCAATTAATTTATGGGTGAAAAGTTCACGGAGAATGAAAAAAATTAGGCCAAAATACAGAAAGAGGAGGCAAGTGGGATTTAAATAAAGATTTGCCTCTCACACCTTGCTGCAATTATACTGGTTTAACATGTCATATTCATCCCAAGATGCCTGCATTTTATAACTATAAGAGTTCCTTTCCATTTGTTATAGAAAAACTACTCAAAATATCACTTTCTGTGACTTCTCTATGATTCCTTTGGTAGGTGCTTCTTTAGGGCACCAACTTTCACTAGAATCTGGTATCACAAGGCGCTGCACCAGGTATCAGGGAAAGCGCACCTCCTCTTCCCTCTCCTCTTTGAAAGTCAGCCGTCTTCGACAAGACTACTTATGCTCATTTTTTAGAAAGTACCAGAATTCTCCTGCTGAGAAGCTATGTCAGAGTGGTGTGCTTATATTGTGCCCCTGAGCTTCCTGTCTGTCAGAACTTTGTGACCAGCCCTCCCTCGCCCAACACATTTTGTCAGGGAGAAATGGAGATTAGGCATTCTTTCATTTAAAGAGCAACATATGAAAAGCTGTTGGGATGCCTGGTAACTGCCTCAGAGCCTACTAATGTCTCACATTCTGATGATGCATGCCGTTCAACTTGAATAAACCAATCTAATTTGTATTAGTATCTCCTCAGGTTCAAATTCTGCCATTTTCCTATGCGTCACTTTCTGTGCTTTACCACGTTTGCGGGTTTAACCTGCGCAACCGCCTAATAACAGAGGCACCGCGGCTTTGTCCAGACTACAAATCAAATTTCAGAGAGTGCACCTACCTTCCTCAAGAACACACAGCAAACGTGGGAGCAGGGATTCAGATCCAGACCACACAGAGTTCTGAGTCTTAAGTTTAACCACTCTGCTCTCAGGCCACTTTCTTAAGATCTCTCCATCTGCAAAAAAAAAAAAAAAAAAAAAAAATCATTGGTTTTAAAATACTAAAAGGCTGGAAAAGAAAAAAAAAAGGAAATACTGAGAGGCCAGTCTCCCAAGAATGTTTGTCTTTTTAAAAATTGATGTGCTATATTACACATCCTGCTCTCCTACATTTAAGTAACTATTTTTAATAGGGGTATACACTGGCCTAAAAGTATAAGTTAAGCATTTATGTGAAGCGCATAATTAATAACTTCGGTGAATGGGTACTGCCACCTTCCACTCCGTGTGCGCGGACCATGAAATCCGCTGGGTGCTGTGGCCACTTGCGCCGGCGATGGTGGGAAGTCTGCGCCGAAGCGCGGTGCTCCTCTGCCACCTAGAGGCTCTGCTCAGAACAACGCCGCGTCACGTCCTTCAGGCTAAATGAGCTCTGAAACGCACGCATCCTTGCGCCTCTTTTCTAGACTATTACTCTGTTCTGAGATTTGGGTCTCCTGTTCTCCTTTAAAAACAAAATTGCTTTCTTCATAAGTCTTCAAACTTAACACTAGAAAAGTCCAATTGTATTCAATAAAATATGATGTTGTTTTTGTATGATAATGAATTTGTTTAGAACAGCAATCATGGGGAAAATATCTCATGAAAGAGCTCTGCCTCTGGGGGGCGCCTGGGTGGCTCAGTCCGTTGGACGTCAGACTTTCGCTCAGGTCATGATCTCTAAGTTTGTGAGCTCCAGCCCCTTGTTGGGCTCTGTGCTGACAGCTTGGAGCGTGGAGCCTGCTTTGGATTCTGTGTCTCCTTCTCTCTCTGCCTCTCCCCCAGTTGCGCTCTGTCTCTATCAAAAAGAGAAAAAGAAAAAAAATTTTAAAGAGCTCTGCGTTTGGCATAGGAATACATGCACTACTTTGCGTACAAAGTGATCAATTAGCAGAGCGTGTGAGCAGTGATTCATCCCTCTTTGAATTCATCCAGTATTTGCACGTTCCTCATATAAGTTGCTAGATGTTTTCAAATAGCAATTAGAAATAAATATTTCTCAGAAACAAATAAGTAATTAAAAAGAAAAAAACAAGACCTTATTTCCTAATTTTTGCCTTACATGAAAAAATCAGAGGAAAAATTGCTAGTGGCTATTTTAGCTGATCATTCATAATAATAATGATAATGATAAAACAACTAAAACATATTGAGTCCTACTGTGTTGAGATAGTTTTATATGTTCACACATTATTTCTAACCTCATGACAATTTGAAAATTACCAGTATCATCGTTTGAGAAATAAACTGAAGCTCAGATAAATATAAGGCTGGTGAATTACAAATGATAATTGATGACACTGGTATTTAAAACAAGATTCCAAAAACCCACTCTTTCCCACTAAGTCATGTTAATTTGAAAATAATAGGAGGTATTTTTTATCCAGAGTAATAAGTGATACGTTAATATCATTAATCTGAGTATTTTGCATTAAAGAGAACCAATAAAATTATTTAACTCGTCCAAAATTGATTGAAAGTCACTGAAATAGGATAAAGTTTTAAAATGAGTTTACAGGTTTTTTTAATTATTTTTTTAATTCCAGTATAATTAACGTACAGTGTTGTATTAGTATCAGGTGTACAATATAGTGATTCAACAATTCCACACATCACTCAGTGCTCATCAAGACAGGTGTACTCTTAATCCTCATCACCTGTTTCACCCATACCTCCCGCCCCCCACCTCCACTCGGTAGCCACCAGTTTGTTCTCGATACTTAAGAATCTGGTTTTTTGTCTCTTTTGTTCTTTCTTTGTTTTGTTTCTTAAATTCCACATATGAGTGAAATCATATGGCACTTATCTTTCTCTGGCTTATTTCAAAACTGAGTTTACAGTCTGACCTACTGCCATGACACACGAAATAGCTTAACCTGAAGAATAACGCAGGGTGAATATAACAGAGATCAGAAGAGGAGTATGGAGAACCCCCAGGTGAGGGTGACTTGATAAAGTGATACTGTGTAAAGTTCATAAGCATCTTGCAAAAATAAATCACTGCATCCAGGTTCATAGGCAGGTGTCCTGCCTCCAGAAGAAGAGTTGGACTATAATATCTGCCATCTGAGGGATGCTGATCCTTCCATAGCAAGGGTCTAGATATTCCTAAAGAACACAGCCCATCATCACATTGTCTGCTTCTGACATCCTTTCCCCGGACACTTTGGCCTTCTTCAGAACCTGTCTATTATTAAAGATTTCTGCTGAGATTTATATTTGTGACATTTCACTCACAGATACTTCAACAAAAATATGTCATAAATGTTGAATAATGTCCTAGGAGATTTTTTAATGCAAGTGTTTACATATAATGACAAATTCTAATATATCACTGTGGAAAATGCATGTCCTGCCATCTCCAGATGGGAAAAGAATGAATATGAATCCTTAGAGAGGTATCCACAAAAGGGAGGGGGGGCAATTATTTTTGTTAGTATTTAAATGTGGATTCTTGTATATTTTTTTAAATTGTAAAAGTAGTTGGGGCGCCTGGGTGGCGCAGTCGGTTAAGAGTCCGACTTCAGCCAGGTCACGATCTCACGGTCCGTGAGTTCGAGCCCCGCGTCAGGCTCTGGGCTGACGGCTCAGAGCCTGGAGCCTGTTTCCGATTCTGTGTCTCCCTCTCTCTCTGCCCCTCCCCCGTTCATGCTCTGTCTCTCTCTGTCCCAAAAATAAACAAAAACGTTAAAAAAAAAATTTTAAATTGTAAAAGTAGCATATGGGCATTATGATCTTAGAATGTCAAAACTAGAAGGGATGTAAATATCATCTATTCTAGTCAACATTACATTTCTCACAGATGAGAAAGCTGAGGCCCATAGAGATGAAAGAACTTGCTCGATCCAGCAAGATAAGGCCAAATCCAAGAATAGAACTCGGTGTCCCAATTGCCAGTTGATCTTTTGATAGATTGTACAATATGTGCTGTCCCTTCAAAGTCTCTTCTACCCACACACAATGTAGGTAAGATTGATGAATACTCAAATGTCTTTGTTGGGCTGCAACAGACAATGGTAGGTCCTATAGCAGTGCCTGCCACACAGTAGGCATTCAATGAATACTGGATGAATGTTGAGTGCCTATATGAGCACATTCACATGTTGACGTCTACATCCATCTATATAAGAGAGAATGCAATGGAAAAGAGGATATCCAAAAGATCATTTTTGATAAGAACACCCTCAATTTTTTGTTCTTCATCTGATGGAAATGGGGGGAGAATTGCAGGCTTGTGATAATAGAAAATAGTACTCTTTAGTCATAATTCCAAAGAACTTACACAGGAAAGAAAAAATGTTTGGCATGATGAGTGAAAACAAATGAATTAATAAAACAGGTAATCTTAGAATATGTAAATTATCTGAAGAAAATACAAACTCACAGTTATGAAACTCTCATTTAAACATTGAACTATCTCCAAGAGAAAGAGAGCCACACATGAGGTGAGCTGTGTCAACTTTGATATCCAAACACAATCACTGGTAGCTGGAGGGTCCTACATGGGGGCTGACCTTCTGAACAGCCCCCATATGATTTCATGTTGCCTAAAATTATGAGAGTTCAAGGGGCATAATCTAACAGGAATTCAGAAGAAACAAGCAGGATTGGATGATACATCTCAACTTCATTCATAAAAAAAGAAATGTGAATTAAAACTACACCATTTTGGGGCGCCTGGGTGGCTCAGTCGGTTGAGCGTCCGATTCGGCTCAGGTCACGATCTCGCGGTCCGTGAGTTCGAGCCCCACGTCAGGCTCTGGGCTGATGGCTCAGAGCCTGGAGCCTGCTTCCGATTCTGTGTCTCCCTCTCTCTCTGCCCCTCCCCCATTCATGCTCTCTCTCCGTCTCAAAAACAAATAAATGTTAAATAAATAAATAAATAAATAAATAAATAAATAAATAAAACTACACCATTTTTACCTGCCACCCTGTTAGAACTTTAAATTGTGATAACACTCCATTGGCCAGGCCATGGGGAAAGAGTCACAGTCCTACGTCACTATTAAGATTGCCTCTCTGGAAGGTGGTTTTCCAAAATCTATCAAAATTACAATTGCAGATACCCCTTAGCCCTGCAATTTCACTTTGTGGATTTATCGTTCATATATCCTTACACTTGTGCAAACCATAACGATGAAGCATTTTTCATTGCTGACTACTAATGATAGTGAAAGAATGGAACAAACTCAAATGCCCATCTACAGGGGAATGGTTAAATACAGTATTGTGCATTCATATAAAGAATAATATTTACAACTATAAGAAAGGGTGAATGGTAAGCAAGTGTCTTGGGTACAACTCTGGAAAGGTCCCCACAGGAAAAATTGCTAAGTGAAAACAGGAGTGCATTGCACAGCACCTACAATCTCCTCTCTTTTGTGTAAGAAATAGAAGAAAGTACAATTTGCTTGTACGTGTGTGTGTGTGTGTGTGTGTGTGTGTGTGTGTGTGTGTTAATTCTGGAAGGACACATAAGAAATTGCCAAAAGTGGTTAACTGTGACTGGGGGAAGATAGAAAATGGGCAGATGGGAGATAATAGTGGGATGCAAGGTTTTCACAGTACTTTTTATTTCCTGTAAGCTGTGAAAATGTTGAATTGTCTTGAACTTTAAGAAAAGATGGGGGGGCGTTAAGATGGATGGAAGAAAATTAACTGTTCAACCTAACTTATTGAATAGGGAGTATGTCAGGATGTTCAGACTTTATGTGGGGCAGCTCAGTGAGGAGCCCTGGGCAGATCAGCAGCTAGAAGAGTAAATGGGTGCCCTGCTGGGCTAGTGCACTCCCAGAGAAAGCCAAACCACTGCATTCATAGTGGACCCCAGATTGAAAGGGGAAAGGAAGATGAGTGACCTATTGTAATTTGGGGATATTCTGACTCCTGACATGTGCTTTGATACAGAATCTGGATCTGGATGAGTTTAAACTGCGCAGGTCTTGCAGAAAGCTTTTCCTTTCAATAGACAATGTAC